GTGTGTGTGTGTGTGTGTGTGTGTGTGTGTGTGTGTGTGTGTGTGTGTGTGTGTGTGTGTGTATATATATATATATATATATATATATATATATATATATAATTTAGGAGACCATGCCTTTTATTGCTAGATAAGAAATATAAAAAATCTTGAAAAAGCTCCTCATTGTACTTTAAACAAAATTTTTTCTTCTTGCAGTAAAATCAATTTTCTAAGCAGAGCACCTTCAACATTATATTGTTTCAGGAAAAAAATGTTGTTGAATAAGAATTTGTTTTCCACACAACCACCAAACTTGCATATTAAGAGGACAGGAGTAAAAGTTATAGGTTCAATACTGGCCTACATTTTCCAAGTATCCTTCAATACCAATGGGCAGGAGCAATATATCAATACATCCCTAATATCATGGTGTTATATCACCTTAAGAAGTCATTATTTTTAATCAAACAAAAGTTAAGTGAAACATTTTATTCATAAAAAGTCATCTACATCACCAAACCTAAATGAGATTCCTTGTACTAAACATTTAACTGCAAAAAGCATGTACTTTATAGTTTTAATAGACTATTATCAAGCATGTTAAAGTTACAAACAGTAGAAAATGTACAATATCATTATATACTTTAGATGAGCATTACCATATAGAAAAATGTCATAACACCATTTTCATAAGTAACTATGATAAAGTAAAACAGAAAGAAAAAAATTAACAAAATACATGTACTTGAGAAAAAATAAAAAAACAAGCTGTAAAACACCTTCTAAGATAGCTGATAATAGAAATTATGTATGCTAGTTAATGAATGTCAAGAACATATTCACTATCTAAACAGATTTCCAGCAAATCAGCAAATATAAATTCTTAAAAAAAATCCCCAGGAGGTACAAAACAACTTCCAATACATGCAAACATTTTGTATAAAATATTAATTCAGAAATGACAACAACAATAATGTATAGTATCCGAGTTGCTTCAAGTGACTATACTACTTTTCCCAAGGTAAAAAATTGCCATAATCAAAAACATCAAATGCTTGGGAAAGGTCAATTACCAAAAAATCAGTATCAGAATTATCATTTCATTTTTAGCATCAGTTTTAGGTCAATGGGATCAGCATAAACAATTGGTGGGCATTTACAATTTTGTCCAGGGGTGCTTTTGTGCATACCAAAATGAAAAATATATAAACCAGCTTGTTTGACCACTAACTACAAGAGAATTTCATGACCATTATGATTCTTTTTAAATTGTTCTTATTATTACAGTATCATTTATTATATTTGTTTCATATTATTTATAATTATAAGAAACATTGAAAAACAAAAGACCAAGACAAGCACAATAACAAAGATCAAAATGACCTTTATGACACCAAAGGTATCCCTAGATGAAACTAATTTCAAACATTATATAATATGTAACAAGAAAAAAAAAAAATCATACAATTTTTTTTTTTTTCTTTGTTCACAACACCTGAACACAATGTCAGTGTTCACCATTTTGTTTGTGTTGTCCCCACTGATCTGAAATTGGTGTCAAAAGCATTGAATTTATGTATTTAAGTGAGATACTACTAACTCTGATACCGACTTTTCACTAATCTTGACAGTCTCCCTTTGTTAAAGGTGTTGAAATACAATAATTACATGATGCAAGACACTTCAAGTGTACAAAGAAAAACTGCATGACACTTTGATCAAACTATATCATTTTAGGTACAATAATCTAAGCTTGTTTCTATCTTAAGCTGTTTATTAAGAAGTATCACATGCTGTGGCAAACTTTCTCAAAATTAACAAAAGTACCTGAAATCTAATTATTTCTATTGGACATTATGAAAAATTGCATGAAACTGGGAAGAAACAACATAGCTTTACATACATAGCTTGTTTCAATCTTAGACTATTCTTTAATAGGTATCGAATGCTGTGGCTAAATTTCTTAAAACTCTGCTAAAATTTAGATATTTTCTAACTTATCAATGATTAATACTTAATAAGAAGTCAAATTAGTCAAAGTTTTAGGATGTTATTTTATGACCAGTCTAACATAATCATCTAACTGAAGTATATAACTAGATTTGTTTCTCTTGTCAATTTTTAGTTATTTTCTGCCCATTTCTGTTCTCTAAGAAAATGTACTGAAAAATCTTCTCAAATATGCTACTAGCACCTTAAAGTGAAAATATGTATTGCTTAGGAAATAAATCAATAACCTCAACTAAAAGCAGTCAATAAATCTTCATGGTTTCCATAAGACAACTTAGTCATCCTCAAGTAAGGAAGTCCAGATTTAAAATGTATTTTAGTACTACTAACTTTGTTTTTCACATAAAAATCATCTCTGGGTTCATTTGCTATGGCAGACGGACATTTTCTTTCCATGTGAAGTTGTTTGTTGTCATTACATCAACAGGGTTATTACCCATTAAAACACAACCCAGTAACTAATAACAATTTTTTTTGTATAGATGATCAAAAAAGTTAAGGTATATATTAAATTTTAGAAGATTTCAGAATTCTCTAATATTTGAATATTACGAAAAGTTTTTTTTTACCATTTTCTACACTGACTTCATGTATTTTTTTGTGTGTTCTCATGCTCTTACAAATAAAAAGAAGTGGGAAATATAAACAATGCAATCTTAAATCATTATCAACTGTTCACACATCCCGTTTCTTTAAACTGACTTTAACGATACTCTTATTTAAATGAAAAGGTGCTTCTATCTATATCTCAATGTTCTTTTTTTAAATTAAGTTCTTTAGAATCACATACATGAAGGAAATTCACAAATGAAAACTTAAAATCAAGTTATTTTCTACTCTTTCACAATATTATTTTTGGAAATTTTATTTAATATCAAGCCCAATGATGATGAAACCCTAACAAGCCACATTTGGAAAAAAAAACATAAAACTAATCAAATCACAAAAACCTGAAACTAATGCAAACATGAACCTAGCCTTCTTCAGTTAATGCATATTTATCAACATTCCTTTCTCACAAGGCTACCTGAATTTTTCCCTCTACTAATTCATCATATGAAAGAAAACTATCCATACAACCAAACTGGCTTATCACCAATCAGATCTAGAACAACATTTTTACCTTGGTAAAAAAGTAACGATAGTGATTGTAGTTATGACTAGTGTTTAATGCCTTTCAAAGTAACTGTTTCACATAATATATCAAAATGTTAGTTTATATATAAGATGCAATGGAAGGTTGGTCTTGAATAAAATGTGCTACTATGTTACAAGAGATTTGAAGTGTCTTCTGACATAACAAAAACAATATCAAATATGTGAAAGCATGAGATACATTTCTTTAAACAATTTAATAGAATATGACACTTGTGAATATTCTCTTCCATCACGTACTTTGTTTTCTATGATAGTTTGATGAAAAGTTGAAAGCATTATCAAAAGTAACTTAGTAAACATTTCCTTCAGTTTCACTTTCTAGTTGAAATACATTGATAATTATTATCCAATAATTAGTAGATCCATTAAGATTATTTTCTCCTCCAAGAAACTTCAATCATATTCATGTACCTGCACTAAATAAGTGCTACAATGTTTATTAATCCTGTTAGAGAATAGAACTGAAACAAATCATAAATTGTTAGGGTTAGTAGTATATATGATCACCTCAGTATCATTATTCGTTTATTACTTGTTCTTTTTGTTGTTGTTTTTATTTACTATAAGATACTAATTACTAATTAATTTATATCCCATGTTTTGGCTGCTAGTCTGCTGCCATCTTCAGGGATGTCTTGAAACTTAGCAACCTAGATGTATGATATATAAAGTAACTAACAGTTAGACACAAGTAATCCTATATATATATATATATAT